GAACCTACCTATCCAACTAGGGATCGAACCCGGGACTTCCCAGGTAGAATGCAACCATACTACCCACTCGGCCAAGACGAATCCATCATATGAACAAATCAAATCTTCCGTTATTCTCATACAACAAACCGTCAAGTTTCCAACCGAGTCATATCCCTGGAGGCTAGTGCTGAGATGAGCGAGGACCGATACTCGCAACAAGATCGCATAGATGGGTTGTGCTATAGCATGTATATTCCAAATGAGAGACGGTCTGACCAGCTGTCCGATGACCCAGTGGGTAATATGCTTCCGTTCTATCTGTGAGGTTTCAGGTTTCCTAGTTAGGTGGATGGACTCAAGCACTGCTTTTGAGAACCAACCAGATCGAAACAGCTATCCGGTGCTTCCCAGCTCACGCATTATTTACACGACGCATTCCTCATATAAAACCGTGTTGTTCACCTCCACAACTCGCTCTAAGATACAGGCGCAGCCGGGGCTATAGAAAACTTGTATCAGTGGATAATTTCACCAGGTTGGTGAACAATTTTACAGCCATACAGAGCAAGAGCCGTATTGCAGCGCGAAATCATGGTGACACTAGGTTCAGTGATACCAAAGAAATGTTTCAGTGCCTGGCGGTCGGTCACAATTGCAAAATGTAGGCTTTGGGCCTACAGAAGTTATTACAATGCAATAAAAAAAACTGATATCAATTTAACTGTTGGATTGCTTTATTTCAGCAAATGCCTCCTTCCAAAAGGAAGCGCTCTCACGTACCAGTGGAAACTCCCATCTCAGTATAATTATAATTATCGGCAGGGGGGGGAGAACACTTCAATACCTGAAACGATTCCTACTCCAATATTTCGTCCGATAACACTCGCCCTCCTAACCCTACTCGAGGTATGTGCCCGCGTCTATTCACTTCAGCAAAATGTAAGAATTACAACCTCTTGCATTCTCGCACAACTGCGCAGTCAGTTTGTCAATTCTTCTTTGGTAAGGTGTTTGGCACGGCAGTCCTTATGTGACGTTGAGCTTACAGGAGTACTCTCCGAGGAGGAAATGCTTTTCTCATCAATTCCGGTTTGTAATTTGCTTTCTCGTTCCATAATATATTTCACGGCTAACACAAAGGTAAAAGTGCACCACCGACCTTTTGGGAGTGAAAAAACACATGAACTACCGACTTGAAATGCGGATTGAGGTCGACCAGTCATTCATACGCGGCTCTCGACAAGAATGGGCTTTCACTTAAACGAGAGGATGCAGGTTTATTTCAAATTTCATTGCAATATCAGTGAGTGCGCTCAGTTTAATACTGCCGCATTTACATTTGCATTTGTGAACAAGCTGATTTCGATTTGTGAACGAAAAGGGACACTGTAGAGATTGGTAATAATTGTTCTCCGAAAAGAGAAAAGCCTAGGTTAATAAAAAACAATGAGGCAGCCAATACCATCTTGGGAGATGGTTAACAACGTTTCGCACTTGCCGCACCAATTGGAGTTAATTTAGGTTAGTATCGGTATCCGGTCTTCTTTATGCTCCATCCTCTGTCTTATGGAAAACTTGTGAAATCAGATAATTTGACCAGAAAATCGTCCATGTCTCGGTTTAACCACGATCCCTGTATGCATACCACACACGTGTTTGTGTGCACACGATAATTTGGCAGATCAATGAGATCAGCCCATTTGTTAAACAGCGAGCGAATGTTGTAACTGGCCAATTAAAGAACCGCCATCTTCACAGGGGGAATGTGTCCCAGAGTGGTCTACCACCCAGCACGCTTGAGTTTCTTGCTCCAACCGCAAAATCCAGTTCGGGTAAAACCATGTGAGTTGGATGACACAAAACAGTAATGATCATCCTTTACTATTAGTAATAATTCCCTGGAATAGAAACGTCGTGGGAACATAATGGAGACCAAGAAATAAATTGCAACGCAGGAGTGAACACAAACGTAGTGCAGCCAGTCGAAGGGCCCGCGCGGCCCTATTTTCAGGTAGCGGTAATCGGTTGCTAGAAAAAATTAACTTTCCGTGCTGTTCTGCACCAAATACGTTTTAATTTTTGAGCCGCAACTTTCAAACTACTAGAAAGCTAATCGCGACAACCAAGGTAACGCCAATTCAAATAATTATACAAGAGCTACAGTGCAAGGCAGAGTTCGAAATTAAAGTTCGTTACACATGACTATTGATACGCAGGCATGATATTGAAAACCGACATTTATTTATCGGTTGAGGATCATGTCGCACGAGTTTGATCGGTCGTTGCAAATATATCTGCATTACACCACAATAGTCAACCCCTTAAAAGCCTAAGTCAATCATTCAGACATACTACTGAAGAGAAATTCAGTAGTTAAAATGACTATGACAAAGAATAGGCGAAACACGCTGGTTTCGTTTGGCAACTGGTCACGGTAGAGATAATACAGGGAAGAAACGCTTCTGGTTGCATTAGTGGATGGTAAAGCAGTCCGATTCCGACTGCTTCGACCGTTCACGGTAGGATAGAATGCACTGATTCAGGATAGCTATGTCCCTTAATGCAATAAGATCTACCTCGCAATAGATCAAACAATATTGCATGCTCTACTTCCATGATTCTAAACAACCAGCTGGTGAATTAGTCAAGAATCACAGTTGATTGTCAGATTGCCTGCCAGAACCTTCATGGTGAGAAAAATTTAAGGTGCGATTCTTTTGTTTCACATGAAACTTGCCTCTCTCAAAGATTTGAATTCCCCTCGAAGCGTCTTTGTTAACTTGGGTGATTCTCCACGATTTGCATGAATTGCTATCCCTCAACCTCATACGAGACTCAGATCACCGGTTAGTAATATTCATGGTACTCTTGCTGGTACCGGGTATCCAATCGTGCGATAATGGCACTTGTGTTGTACACAGCTGAAGTTCACTGGGTNATCGGAATTTAAGATACTATTATCGGAAATCAACTCTGAAAACGCAACAGTTCGTCAAATTTTATGCAGGCCTCCACTGACAACATATATTCCTTCCCCACCTATCGAATCAAGATTGTCTCCCTCGCATCCTGTTTTCTCAGACCTTCTCTAAGCCGTATCAACAGCCATGTACAAACACATTGCTTGACAAA